TTATCGGTAGCATCTGTGATAACTTTTAAACTCTATTATGCACAAGAAGTTTGCTGGTGAATCATCAAGTTTAATTTACTTCAAAAAATTACGATGCGCATTACAACCTGTCCCGTGTCCATGCGCACTATTAAATGCAAAAACCGGGCTGATGTACGATTGCGCTAACATGGCATTACGCATTAAATTTTGATATTAATTTCTGAGTTATCATGCAACTTTAAAAGTTTCCATTGCCGTATTTTATTTGTCAATAATTGCTGTGCGCACTATTTGCCGTATGTCCCCAATCATACCACTGGGCTCCCCCAGTGCATATTGCCGACCGGGACTTTTCCTAAAATCCGCCACTGGTCCGTCAAAAAGTATTTTTTATTAAATTTGCTCACAGCTTAAGCGCGCGCGAAGAAGTTTTTCCTACATCAAGCTGACCGCATAGGCAACCAGCCTTGCGCTATCATCTATGAGCTTACAGTTACTTGACGGGTGCAGTGCTGCCAGTGTTTAGTAGAAAATATCAGTTCGGCATCCATTTAACATGTGTGCATTACATTTATCTAAGAGATTTGGAACTTTAAAAATTGGTGGTCGAACTAAATTCGCCTGGATCCGCGCCTGACTATGCTATTGTAATACAAGGAGTCCTCGGATATCAGACTATTTTATGGAAAATGGTTTCCCATTGGATCAGGGTGCATAACAGAATTTTTCAGCCCTAAAAATTACTTATATTTCGAGGTGATTGCACCTAGGTTCCTCTTAAATATTTGAGAGTATATGTATTTTAAGCTTTCATCAACATTTTCCTTTTTATTTTAGTACTTAATTATTCTTGAAAAGTTCAAGGTCCGAAAAATTTATCCAAAATTCACCCATTTTCCACTAATCAGCTTACTATTTGTATAAAATTGAAAGTTTTGCGCCATTGTGTTCACAACTTCCGAGTTAGAGAGCGTGCGAGCCAAGGATTGATTTAGGAATCTGTCTGGGGGTGGCGCAGCATTTATCTCAGATAGATGTTTGCCTCTAGGAGGGAGGTGATTAAAAATTGAAAACGCGAGGGTTTACGTCTAGGGGGGCGTATGTCTGATAATTTCTAACACGGTAATTTTTACACTGAGGAAAGGCAACATGTACCACTTTCTTACAAAAAATGGCGGACTTGGGCATCTAGGGAGGGGCGTCTCCCCTCCTCGTCTGCTCCAAACCCGCCGATGGTGCAAGCTTAATAAATTTGAAAAAAAATATGGCGAAAGACACCACACGATCTAATGGTCTATCTAGCCTTTTATTGGAAACTTAACAGCTACTGTAATGGCATCTACTGCATGTTAGCATGCATGAACATTTGTTGTTCTTATCAAACCAGTGCCATTCTTATGCTAACTGATCCCCGATCCAGTTGTCTGACATTTCAACATTTTATCCTCCATATGATTTTGATCCATGGGTGGAAGACTAGACACAAACTCTTTTGACGGTGGTTCTAATTCAAGGTCAACCAATTTATTACCAAACGTCTTCTTTCCATAAAAATAACGTCATGGTTAAGTTGAACTTTTAGAAGCAGCCCAGGTGGCACCTTGGTGTTTTTTCTCAGAGGACGCTTCGTCAGAAGATTTCTTGCACACCAGCAGAGCTTCAAGGTCATATTAAAGAGCTCAAGGTGGGTAAAGCACCTAGGGTGGATCGAATCACTAATAGGGCACTGAAGCTGCTTTTGCGAAAGATCTCTACTTATCCCGTGACAATAATCAATGCCATACTAAGGAACCAGTACTTCCCAGCGGCGTGGAAGGCCACAGATATTCTAATGATTCCAAAGAAGGTGGGTTCAATATTCCCCAAGGTTACCGTCCCATTAGTCTACTGTCAGCTCCTTCAAAGCTCTCTTATTCTACGTCACCTTGAAAAATTGTGGTCAGACCACAATGTGATTCCTGACGTGCAATTTGGCTTTCGGTCTGAGCATAGTACGGAGTTACAGGCGGTTAGGCTTGTTGAGCTAGTAACCATAGGATTCACCCGTAACGAAGGTACTGACACCTTGCGTCTGGATGTCTCAAAGGCATTTGACAAAGTGTGGCACGACGGCCTCCTCTACAAATTGATTCAAAAGGGCTTCCCCTTCTGGCTCTTGAAACTATTGAAATCGTTCCTTGAGGGTAGGAAATGCCAGATCAAAATTAAAAACGTTCTGTGGAAAACACGACCCATCAAAGCCAGTGTCCTATAGGGTTCGGTTCTTGAACCAATCCTTTATTGTGAAATCTATATATATATATATATATATGCTGATAGTACTGCCCTGGCGGCCCAGTCGTGGCTTATCAAAATTTATAATTCGAAAACGCAGGCTCTCTATTGTACTAAAAACGGAGCTCTGGTACCATGAGACAATTCTGCCAAGAATCTAGGTGTCACTCTTGACAAGGGTATGTCCTGGCAGAAGCATACTGAATCGTTAAAAACTAAATTCCAAATCATTTTTTGGCAACACTACCCTCTGCTGTGTAGAACCTCAACATTAAGTTTGATAACAAAGTTTGGCTATACAAGATAGTTATTAGGCCAGCGATCACTTACGCAAGTACGGCTTGGTGTTTTCTCGCCAAGTCCCTTTTCGTAGTCTGCGAACAAAACCTTGCGTACAATCACTAACGCCCCATGTTATGTCTCCAACCAGACCCTTCACAGAAACCTCAACATCCCTTACCTAAGGGACTACATCAAACTTCAGGCGCAGTTACGTTATAGTCAAGCGGAATCGCACAGAAACCCTCTATTGCGTGAGTCAGTAGACTACACAGTCGAGCAAGTTCGCAAGCACTCCAGTCCGCAGCTCGTATTGTGGTCAAAATCAAATCGTGCAATTCTTAGGTCCAACCAAAATTACGAATTTTGCAACACACAGTAGACTACACAGTCAAGCAAGTTCTCAAACACACATGACCGCGGTTCGCACTGAACAAAATTGAATCGTGCGACTTTAGGTCCAACCAAAAATAAAATATTTATTCAATCACCAATCTCTAAATTAATTTTAGGATCAATTTAAAATTCTCGGATACTAGTTAGCAATACCAAGGCATTTCTCTTTTCTTTGCTCTCCCTCCTTCCTTTCTTTCTTCTGCTCTTCTTTCTCCCTTTGGTATCTGGGAAACCAGACCCAGACAGACCTAAAATGGTTTAACCAAAAGCAAAGGTCTGATGGATAAAAAAAAAGTGAATTTGCAATTATTAAGGAGATAAGGAACATAGGTGTAATAAGTTTTCATAGATAACGCCAGGATATCTCGTTTTGTCTCCAATAATTTGTGGATGTCGAAGTTCGCTATCTTCAAGTAGAATATGTTAATCAGTGGGACTAGTCGCCAGTAATTAGACATTATTAATGTGACAAGTGTTGCGTCCGCTTTACATAGAATCTTAGATACGCGCACCCTTCTTCGGTTTGCTCAGCTTATTGCACATCCTTTTTAACAAAACTCAGGATCAATGAGGTAAGATTTTCAGACCAACTTCAGCTGAATGTCATCAGTTGTAGCTTCTTCCACCTTTGTGGTTTCAGTTCGCGGCCAGTGGAGGATAGATATTGAAGTAATAGCTGCTTTAACGCCGTTTTAACTGGCCTACTAGGTGTGAGCCAATTTTTAGGTACGTTTGTCAATCTATCCAAGAATGGAAATTAGTACAACAAATGAAGCATTCTCGTGTGTACAAATTAAAATATCAGTGGGGAACTACGTTACTAATATTACTGTAAAGGGGTAAATTAGCTTATAGAAATTTAGGACCTCTGTGCAAAGACCAGGTAAGTGCAATTTTTATCAAAAATTGCTTTTTCGAATATTCTAAGTAGTTAGATCATTGTGGATCGTTTGGTGCTAAAATCAAATAAGTCCAACGCTAATGTGAAATAGCATCGGATTTCACTTGCCTGGTCAGGTATTGGTAGCATAAATTAGGCAAGTCCAGAACATACCTGCTTTTTGTACCGAGGTCATTTTGTATAGGTGGGGACTTGTCTGAATCCGGTAGTGTGGTAATGTGGCATGATCTACTCGTAGTATGCATTAACAGTAATGGAGCATTGTTCGCACTGCAATAAGTTATATTTGGCGCAAAAATATCGTCAGAAGAGGAGCCTTTTCAATCGTCAGGAAGCGAATATGTACCATGTCAATAAGCGCCTGGATAATAGAGATTCAAAATATTGGCGCCCCCCCTAAAAAAGGCAAAAAACGCGTACGCTGCTCTGAAAAATGGCCATATCCATATTCCCGATGAATGGAAAGAACTAGTATATTCAACTCCAAAAAAGTTTAAAGTTGTAAACGTCAATCAGAACATGATCATAGATTTTGCAACACATCTTAAAGCTTTTTTTAAATCTGCTTTTGTTAGCAAAGATAAGCTTAGCATTCCAACCTACCGACTTTTCCAGTTTCAAAAAGGGTTCAAATATGTAGAATGCAGTATTGCAACATATATCCTAGTTCTTACATGGTTTTATATTGAAAAGGAAGATGTAATATTGTGCTTTCCAAGTTCACATATGATACAACCCTTTCCTTTGCCGCTTAATGAAAAAAAGGCTGCTGATGCTAAACTGTTATCAGCAAAATAGGTGGTACTATCGAGAGATACTCGGAAAATCCGAAAATATTGAAGTTCCACAAGAAGTAGTTGGTACAGGTGATATTCATCATTTATGTAATTGAAGATATATTTTTGTTACTCCTTTTTCAAGTTGTATTGGCTTAGTTATCTTTGATTATTTATTAAAACTGTTTGAACCAATGTTCGGGGCAAAAACCAGGTAAGTCCATAGTTTTAACAAAAAAAATTAAAGGTTTGGGTTTATATTTTCATGTTATTTCATATTTAAAAGGTTGTTTAATACCTTCTTTATGCTCTAACATAAAATGGTTTTCTTTACCATATTCTTAAAACAAAATATTTTTTTAATTTCCCAAAACTCTATATAATGTGACTTTGCGACTTTGCTGTTTTTGCACCGAGGTCTTCAATTACAACTAAAACAGTATGTATACCTTAATTTATATTTATTTACAAAGATACAATAATATCTCATTTCAGCAACCCACTGCTCTTCACCATATTATAGAACACTCCATTCTTTTCCTCCAAGAGCATTGCGGGAGTATTGTACTCCACTATAGCTCCGTGCTCTAGCACCATCACCTTATCGAGTCCTACAATGGTCTCCAACTTGTGAGCCACAACCAGCAAGGTGCATGACTTAAAGTTCTCCTTCACCACGTCTGTGACAAGTTTCTCTGTGACTTCATCCATGTTGGCAGTTAGTTCATCGAATATCACGATTTTGTTCTTGAGCAGCACTGCTCTTGCTATTGAAAGCAGCTGCTTTTGGGCACTGCTTAACTTGGCGTCGTCGATAGTTATCTCTAGCGATGTTATGTTTGACCCTGTTAAAAATCCCATTTGAAATTAGGGCAGGAACATGTCATTGTCAGGTAAAATGAACTCGTAAGCTGTATGGTGAAATCACGAATCGTTCAACCCTGATACCGTAAAGAAGGTATGTATGTATTTCGATGTACACTATTATCATTTTAGATTTTGAATAGTGAATTTGTGCCACCTCATGACTCCTAATTACGTGACAATACTGTATTTTCAGCAACAAGACCAATTAGATAGGGGCGTCTGTCTCCCCCCTCTGAGAATCCAGTTGCACCATAGAATTTACATATTTGGCATGGGTCTGAGTAAAATTTTGGGAATGTTTAGCGTTTGCCCCTTCTGTGGTACACTTTAACAAAAAATTATCCCTTTTGAGGAAAATTTCTGTGGGCGCCCATGAAGATATTTTTGATAATTGAAGTAAATGTTGAAAGTAAAACATTCAGAAAAAGTGAAAGATTTTAAAAAATGGTCTGCTCTGCCAGAAACACAGAAGAACAAAATGTAGATATTACCTGATTCTGCACTCCGAAGTCCGGCTTTTTCTATGGCACTCCAAATTTCGTGATCATCATAATCTCCAAATGGATCTAAGTTATCTCTGATGGTACCCGTGAATAGAACTGGCTCCTGTGGTATTATGGTGATTTTTTGACGAATTGTTTTTAACTGGAGGTATTTGATGTCCATATCGTCTATACGAATTTCACCCTCGTGGTCATATAAGCGGAACAGCGTGGTAATTAGTGTCGATTTACCAGCACCTAGAAATTCGGAATATGGTCTTAAATTTCAAATTGTTTCCTCTCCTACTTATTAAATCAACACGTGCTTTCAAGGAGCTTAAACTTAACGCCATATTCAGAGAGCGTTTCTGCTACTTTGCCCCTCTAGAGAGGTGTCGCTGTTAATTTTGGTCGCTTATCAACAAATGTCAATTTTTTGTCACCAGCTGCGAATACCTACAACTTACTTTTTTGAAGTAATGACTTTTATAGAAAAAACTGCGTCATGTAGGTCAACACTGCACATCCCACGCAACGCTGCTGGCAATGCATATAGTCTAACCATATTAGAAAATTTCCTCGAAATACTTGTAAAGTCTGGTTTTGTTGGTGCAAATTGTTCAAAGGGGTATTTAAAACGTGGACGCATAAAATGGGTTCACCAATTTCTGTGGGAAAACTGTTTATTCGACAACAAAGAATGAGAAAACGTGTTTTTCGGGATTCAATCGAAAGTGTTGACAGGAACGAAAAAACTCTTCATACAAGATTTTGAAGAAGAAATGAGACCACACGCAAAAAGATCCGACTAATAGCAATAATGGCCGAAAAACGAGACAAAATGCAGGTTTTGGCACTTGTTAGTAATGCCACGATAATCACACTCAACTACTTAAAATTCTTCAAATCCGTAGGATTTATACTTCTAAATAACAATAACAAAATTGGAGTATATTGGTCAAGTAGTTTTTTGAGAATTTCCAATTGTTTATCCCAAAACACCTGTTTTCCTGCCATCACTACTAGTTTATTGTGCAATATACAGAGTTCGTTCAGAGAGTATTTAATAGCAAAGTACACGTCATTATCTTGCCGATATGAATCACAAACCATTTCGAAGGATAAATGTTATTTTTATGCGAATAACAAAGGTTACGTTTTTTCTTCTAAACAAATTCAAACATTTCGTATTTGTGAGTAATCGAACAAATGCGCTACGATATTCGAAAGACATACGTTACTATACACATTTTAAAACACAAAACGTACGCTATCATCTTTTGTTGCGAATTACTCACAAATACGAAATGTTTAGAAGAAAAAACGTAGTCCATCCTTTTTTCGCATAAAAATAACATTTGTCTTCCAGAATGGTTTGCGTTTCATATTGGCAAGGTAAAGTAGTGTATTTTGCTATTAAATGTCCTTTGAACTAATTCTGTCTATTGCTCAATAAACGAGGAGTGATGGCCGGAAAACAGGTGCTTTGGGATACACAATTATAAATTGTCAAAAACTAATTGACCAATCTACTCCAATTTTGTTGTGGTTGTTAAGAAGTACGAATCTTACGAATTTAAAGAACTTCAAATATCTGCGAGAAACCATCGTCGCATTACCAACAAGTGCCAAAACACAGTTTTACTCGGTTTTCGGCCATAACTTTTTTGTTATTAGTCTGATCTTTTTACATGTGGTCTCATTTTGTAGGTATCATAAATACTTAAAAATCTTAGTTTTTTCGTTCCTGCCAACACTTTCGATCGAATCTCAAAATACACGTTTTCTCATTCTTTCTTGTCGAATAAAAAATTTTACTACAAAAATTGGTGTACCCATTTTATGCGTCCATGTTTTGAATTCTACCTTGAACAGCTTGCAATAAAACCAAACTTTACAATTATTTCGCAAACCAGGGGTATTTCCGTATAATAAAAGGTTATGCTCGGCTTAAGTTAGTCCCTCTGAGCAAAAATAAAATGAATCAAGTCAGTCAATCAGGCCCATAGAATTAGTCCGTAGGCCACACCAATTTGACATCGATGCGATCTAGAAATGTCTTCCCTCCCCTGCCTAGAGTACCGAGCATCTGGCAACGTTGCTATGTCTAACCTTCGCTTATCGCCAGCCACCCATCGCTCAGACCTCGAAGCAAGTAGATCGTGGTTCGTGACATTGCTGCTACGCTCTGTGAATGTTTTAAGGGCAGGTGTATGGAGAAACCTATGACGCGTAAAATATAAGCGTATAAATATAATAACTCCAAGAAAACGAGATGTCGCCTCCCAAGCCCCCAACGATCCATAACTCCCAATCTTTAACGACTATAAAAATTAGTGTAACTCCTGAAACTGACTATGTGGTTTTCATGATCATAGCAGTACATAACCTGGCCGAATCCGACAATGAAGCTCTACAAAAATGCTTCCAGAAATGATCACAAGTCTCGGAAACGTGAAAAAACCAAATTTGAATGGTTTTTATCCTGATTATTATTCTTTTTTTATGCCTGTATCACTGCCGCCACTTGGTCGATTCTTAAAAACTAGAGAGCTTTCCTCTTTTCCACAGTCGTAACGTTGTTTTAAAATGTCATTTAAATCCGACCGGTACTTTCCGTACCGTCGTCATGGCAGGGCGAGGATTAGCGAACAAGCAGACGTTATGTATATGTTATGTAACATCCAACAAACATACTTACAGGGTTTGTCCGGAAAGTAATAGGACTCATTTTCTTCCGCCATGACTGTACTTCGGAGGGTGCGCGCACCGACTGGATTCGGTAGAGGGCGTTCCTAGCTAACGAATGAGCGGTTGGTCAGTTGTCTCCGAGCACTTGGAGAGTCAGGACAGGCATTTTTGCGCGACGTGTTTCTGTGAGTGGTGCACACGAAAATGCAGCGTTCGTTAGAGCAGAGGTACGCGATTAAATTCTGTGTGAAAATCGGTAAATCTAGGACAGAGACGTTTAATATGATCAAGCAGGCTTACCCAAGTGTTGCTTTAGCAAGAAGTGGTGTGTTTCGGTGGCACCAGGCCTTTTTGGAGCGCCGGGAAGAGGTCGCTGATGAAGACCGTGCTGGAAGACCTTCGACTTCGGCAAACACCGATAATGTGACTCGTGTGCGCAAAGGTTTGAACTCAGACCGTCGACTAAGTATTCGTTTAATTGCCCAGATGTTAAATTTACCAAAATCTGTGGTTCATGACATTATGACACAGCATTTGAACATGCGCAAGGTGTGCGCGAAGATGGTCTCAAAAGTGCTTACTGACGACCAGAAATTGCGGCGAGTGGAAGTGTGCCAAGAAAATTTGAACATGTGTGAAAGTGACCCCCAATTTTTGAATAACGTAATCACAGGTGACGAGTCGTGGATCTTTGAGTATGATCCCGAGACAAAGAGGCAATCTTCCGAGTAGCACACGATGGTGTCTCTTCGCCCAAAAAAGGGAAGAATGAGCAAATCCAAAGTGTAAATGATGCTCATTGTCTTTTTTGACATCAAAGGCATAGTCCACCATGAATTTGTTGTGGAAGTGCTCAGGAGACTCAAACGAAGGGTCAGTCGGGTACGACAAGACATCGCAGCCGACTGGAGGTTACACCACGACAACGCCCCGGCTCACACTGCCTTTCTTGTGAACACCTACCTGACCAAGGCCGGCATCCCAACGCTTCCGCAGCCGCCCTACAGCCCAAATGCGCCCCCCCCCCCGGACTTTTTTTTGTTTCCTCGCCTGAAAAAGCCGATGAAAGGCAAGCATTTTGAGACGACAGAGGGGATTCAAGCAGCATGCACCGCGGCTCTCAAGGCTATTCCGGAGAATGCCTTCCGTGACGCCTTCAATGCTTGGAAATCACGCTGGCAGCGCTGCATCGACGCAGAAGGAGCCTGTTTTGAAAGTTTTTAAAGAATTGTAACGATTAGCTCAATAATTTTTTTAAATCGACTCAGTCTTATTACTTTCCGAACAAACCCTGTATCTCATTTTCAAAATTTTATTCGTGTATTATGATCTACTGTAGGATTAAGTGTCCATCATTAGTAACTTTGTTATTAGTGAAAATACAAAGTTGTTTGAATTAGCAAACTAGTAGCATTTTTAACGCTGGTAAAAATGAGAAATAAAAAAAAACAATTGAGAGTCGTTATTTTGATTTTTTTCAGTAAAATAACATTTTTTTAAATGGAAACCCCTGTATATTATATTTTTTTCTGTTAAAGCATCAAATTTTAAACAAAAAAGCTTACAATAACTTTTCTCCTAGGTTACAAATTGTTGAAGTTATGGCCTCCAATCTGAAACAATTAAATTGTATCGACAAACTTTATTTTCAACATCAACTTATAATCTTACAAAATACAATAACAATTTCTTTTAAAGAAGATGCTCGAAAACACCACCTTGTTCTTCAATACATTTTTGGGCACGTTTTTCAACTGCTCGAACTGTCTTAAGTATGGTCCTACCATCTATCTGGGTTATCCTTTCCCTAACTGCAGTCTTTAACGCGTCAAGGTTATCGTACCTTCGCTTGTAAATTTGGTTCTTTAAGTAACCCCACAAGAAGTAATCAAGTGGGTTTAGATCTGGTGATCTGGGAGGCCACTGTATTGGGCCATTTGTTCCTATCCACTGATCATTAAAAGTAGTACTTAGAAAATGATAAGTACCTCTGGAGTTGTGGGCAGGTGCGCCATCTTGCTGAAAATGCAGATGATGTCTACTTATAAGATCCAATTCGTCTAAGAAATTAGTCAGAATTTCTGACATAAATTCCACATATCTTTCACCAGTTAGGGTTCCCTCATAAAAGAACGGGCCAACAATTTTTGAACCAATTATACCGCACCAAACGTTGAAACTGAAACGGACTTGTGGGCCTCTTGGATGTACTAACAAAAGATTTTCTCTTGACCAATAATGGTGGTTTTTTCTATTAAACATTCCAGAATTTGAAAAATTTGATTCATCTGTCCATAAAAGGTAACGAAAGTTATTTACATTTTGGCGACAGAAGCTAAGATACCAATGGCAAAAAACAAGTCTTCTCTCTGGATCCCCTGCCAAAAGCGTTTGAACTGGTCGGTACTTATACGGAATAAATTTGTATTTTTTTAAAATCCTTTGAACAGTACCATAACTGAAATTAAAGTCCTTGAGAATATCTGCTATTGAATTCTCACGATAAGCTTCAAAATATCCAATAACTGCAATTTCCGTGGCCTCGCTTATTATGAATTCTTTTTTTGCCCTTGTTTTAGCAAAACCATTTTCGTTGCCCCTAAATTTTCGATAAAGTCTCAGAAAATATCGTTCATACGGTTGAATGCGAGCGGGATATAATTCACTGTAGTATTCTCTTGCTCTCAAGGAGGATTTTCTGCACACTAAATAGCATTCTAACATATCACACTTTTCTTCATGGGAGAACATTTTTCTTTAAATTAATGACACAATAAAGCTTATAAACAAGTATTTACACTAATGTTTGACATTATTTGATTTTATCATTGTTTTCCAAAGCCTTCTAGTTGCGAGTATGTCCAGTTTAACAATTTGTCGCTTATCTTAATGCTGTCAAATCGCGAACGCCATGTTGTTTTCATAGCCGTCTTAATATTATAATACTGCAAATAATTAAAAATATTTATCGTTATTTTGACTTTATTTTTGACTTTAGCGGAAAAGTCATTATGAACTTTTTTGTTTAAAATTTGATGCTTTAACAGAAAAAAATATAATATACAGGGGTTTCCATTTAAAAAAATGTTATTTTACTGAAAAAAATCAAAATAACGACTCTCAATTGTTTTTTTTTTTATTTCTCATTTTTACCAGCGTTAAAAATGCTACTAGTTTGCTAATTCAAACAACTTTGTATTTTCACTAATAACAAAGTTACTAATGGTGGACACTTAATTTGGATAACCCTGTATATAGAATTCTATAAAATAAAATCAATACCAAAAACATCGCAATCCATCGGAGTCCATCCTACTTGCTGAACTGAATCAGTTTGCATAACGCTTTTGTCAACGTTGTTTCATGCTTCATAGCAATAATCAGGACGGTATACCTCTAATCGTAAGGAGATGGAAGGCGACATCTATCCGTTTATAGACGAACTGTATGTAGGTGACAATTGTCAGTACTGTCACCCATTTGCACCGTTCCTACCACTCGTACTAACCTGTTCTTCCAACAATCCCAATCTTCTCCGCTGGATTTATCGTAAAATTCAAATTCTTCAGCAAATAGCTGTCCGTGCTGCAGTACCGCAAGCTGACGTCAACAAACTGTATCTTTCCTTTGATTGGCCAATTAAGCGACGACAAGATTCCCATATCGTTACGCTCCTGTTCTGCTTTGGTATATTCCAGTGCTCTTTCCACTGACGTCATTTTGTTTTCTATCTCGGCCCATTGCCTAATACCATACTGTACGAAACCTGTCAAGGTATAAGCCTGCGTAATTGCCAACCCAATTTCACCCACAGTGATATCTGAAAAACGTATTACATCAAAACACCCTTATATTATAATGTAGCAATTTTATCGATCAAAGGTAAATAAATTTAAGAATCCTTACACTTCCTGAGTACCTCACACGACCTTTAGAGAGATGTGCATTTCCGAGTTTCAGTTCCCTTTCTTTTGTCTCCTTCAATAAGCAAAAGAGGGGAAATTAATAGGTCCAAACCTCAGAACTAGATGCCACGCCGATTGGAATACATTCAAAATATTTTTTACTGGGGAGCCTTAAAAACTTTCCGATTCCCGACTCTTTAACAATTGAATAATATCTGCACAATAACTGTTAATCACTAGTATACATACTGGCAACCTTACAAAAGTATGGGAGATTACGTAAAATGCCAAAATAAAAGTGTCATCCTAGCAAAGGTTGTCAGATCTACAGTGCTTCCTTAGCGTGACAAGCTGAGGATTTGGCACCACAGCTTGCCGACATCATTCAGATGTAAAGATTTGTAGGTTATGACCGTCAGTGAACACATTGTCCGATTGTCACTGAAATCAGTGTCAGTTGCATTTGTAATTAGTGTTTATAAATAGAAAAATAGAAAGATCACAAAAAGACGACAAAGTCACTTCTTTAACCAAGTCCATTTTCTTGTATAACTGTGTTTTTTTCGTTGGTTTAATATGATATAAAGAAATAATCACCATGATCCAGGAAGACAAATCTGGCAACTATGGTAGCGATGAATATAGAACACCATAGATCCAGGAAATAACCAAAAGCTCTAGCACAACACTTCGAGGTATAGTTGGCGGATGTGTAAAGATCTTGATGTCTGTCAAACTCCTTTGTCAGTAGATCTTCTACCCTGAAAGCTCTTATTGTCGTCAGGCCTTCTAGAGATGCATTTAAGTATCCTATCATTGGACTTCTTGCTGCAAATCAAAGAAAATTGAGCAATGATGGGCATTTCACTTAAGGTTAGAAACATTTATCGTTCTTTCCACAGTTTTTGGCAGGCCGTGGTAAAACTGCCAGTGAAACTCGCATACCTCTCATACATACACGAGTCAACTGCATTTCTTTGTGAACATTTATGTAAGCTTACCAACGAATTCAGACTAGGTGGAAGGAGCAAGTTTACATTCTACAAATGGACTTACCATAAGTTAATTTTTGACAGTTCTGTCATTAAATTCATATTCTTAGAATTATTTTTTATGGTCCGAGCATTTGCAATTGTGGGGTGTTATACGATTGCTTGACATGGTACTTCTTGCATATTTTAAAGCGCCGCAAAGACCTAATGAAGGTAGATATTACCACCGGTAAGTATTGTTATGTTGATACAACAAGGTCACTTTGGTATGCAATGGTAATCAAATGAGTCTAAAATGTGCACTAAAACAACGCAATTTTAACGGGAAGCATTGTAGGCCTAGCTCTATTCTCACCAACGAAAATTGCATTAATTTCCGCCAATTTTGCGAAATTTTAATGCACACTTTTGACCCATTTGTCTATCAATACCTAACAAAGTGACAGCGTTGTATCAATATAATAATAATACTTACTGCCACTGTCATTGTTGACAACCCTTTTGTCATCGACATGCAATTTGAGTTTACTTACTGTATGGAAACAGAATTAGAGGCGAATGTCGACAGATTGTGCTAAAATTACAGGATAGTGAATGAAAAGAACTGCCCTTATTAACCACCTCTTGCGTAAAAGAACCAGTACGATCGGTTGGTGCAATGTGAGTTTTTCCTTAGGAACACTAAGCTACACCCATGCCACGGTTAGTCGATCTATTTACTTATTTTGTATAGCAATAATAACGTAACCATCAAAAACGGTGAAAAGGACTGTAAACATACAAATACAAAATACAACTGATGTATCATTTGAAACTGATCCTGTAGTTGTCTCGCTGACGCGTCCTTATATTTCACTGGCCACCGGTTGAAACCACAGATATAGAATAAAGATGAAGGCACTGTTTATGCTACGACTACTTTGATAGCATCTACGTGACAGAACTGCTTTCAATGAAACCATATCATTTGGTGCCTCAGTCTTTTTTTATGTAATATTTGAAACTATACTTACACGATACATCCATCCTCTGTAAATTCCTTCCAATCGGTATGTAAATTTTTCTCATTAAATACATAATGATGATAATGACTGAGACTGGTATCAGGAAAAGGAGATTCACACATGCCAACAATATGACTACACCACAGAATGAGAACAAAATCTAGAAGAAAAATGTCTAAATGTCACACATATAAGTTGCAACAAGACGTCGGATTAATCCATAAGAAAGTAGATCTGTCTGGTCAAATGGAATTATAATAATAACAATGGTAATAATAATAGTATTAATGGAAATAGTAATTAATAAGTACAATTTGTTTGTGAGGCATACAAAGATGTAAATGCAGGGTGTAAAGTTAGCAGTGGATCAACGGAAGTCAGCTGGCCTCAGAACATATCGAATTAACCCATATGTGTGGTCCCGAATTTTATAGTTCAGGAGATATTTGCAATTTTGTGAAATTTCGAAAAAAACGGGATAATGAACTAAATGGTTATTTTTAGCAATGTTTATGTCACTTTTTAATAGAGCTAATTAGAAATTAACGCAAAAAGTCTTAAATTCATTTTGTTGTGAAAAATCTCTTCCATCCCTCAACTTTGGAGGGCGGTAAAAAAAATTGATGTTGTATTTCATTATTCATTTTATTGTAAAAACTATTTCAATCCATGTAATTTAGAATAAACCCTCAACATTTCAGCTTGCTACGATAAGTGCATCACCTTAAAAAAATCTGTATGTTTGACACAGGTAGGTATCGATACATGTAAACAAGAAATTCTACTTTACGAGCTACAGTCCAAACGACTTGATGGATTTTGATATATGAGGTACTGTTAGATTCGTTCTAGCAGTGCGAGTGATACTGTGTATATCAGCATTTTGTAAAATCAAAATGGCGGATTTTTCACGCAAATAGCCAAATCAGCTTAATGAGTTTGAGCATTCAAGGCGCGGGAGCATTCAAGCTTCGGTCCGACCGAAATTACTGAGTCAGGCAATGGTCCAGCGCGAAATTTGTATCTAACGTTTGGCACCTGAGTAGAATCATGTCATATTCTCCGCGAGAATGTATCGGGAGTATGTGGTTAGAAGAGATGGACCACAACCGGCGGTATATCCAGACTACCTCATTTTTCTACGCGTTCATAATACGTATATGGAGGGCCGCATACTAGGCACTCATCGTCAGTTAGGAGCGTCGAGGATACGCCCAGAAGAAATAGAAGATATAATAGAAGCAGCCGAGAGAGATCCCTCTATAAGCACCAGAGCTGTTGCCCGAAGCAGAAACATATCCCATACTTCAGTGCACATAATACTTCGCTGGGAGAACACGCATCCTTACCATGTACAAAAACTGCAAGAATTACTTCCAAGCGACTATGCACAACGGGTTGAATTTGGGGAATATGTTGAGAAGGTGCGAAGAGGATGAAACTTTTTTCGACAGCATTTTATGGACAGATGAATCCAACATTAACCGAAATGGAATTTTCAACATGCAAAATTTCCATTCAAGAGCGTGGAAAATCCACACGCTGTTCACCGACACTGCTTTCAACGTGAGTTTGGCGTTAAGTTATGGGCTGGAATACTCAACAAAAAATTAATTGGACCATATGAATTGCCCGCCAGGTTGCATGGTCAGTCATATCTTGTTTTTCTACAAAGCAATTTGCATCAGCTGGTAGAGGATGTACCTTTGGACGTTCGAGGCCGCATGTATTTTCAATGCGATGGTGCCCCATGTCACTTTGCACGGGATGCACGGCATTACTTAGACAGTGCCTTTCCTGGGCGTTGGATCGGTAGAGGTGGACACATACGATGGCCTCCAAGGTCACCCGATTTAAGTCCTCTAGATTTTTTATATGGGGTTTTGTAAGGGGATAATCTATACATCTATCAACCCATTGCGCCAGAAAATTGATGAAGCAAAAATAAAAATTACGGAAAACGCAAATTCATTTCAAATTTTATTAGGAGGTGTCGCTTGTGTATAGAAAATAATGGATGCCATTTCGAACATGTTCTTTAAAAGTTGGTTAAACTAAATTATCTTCCACATTTGTCGGTAAATCGCCATAAAGAGCGGCTAAACACAATAGGTTCTGTACTTGGAGGTGGTAAGGATTCTCACGTTTATCGCATCACAACAACGAATGTGACATGATACCCTCATCGTAGCAAGCTGAAATTTTCGGGATCTATTCTACATGGATTGAAATAGTTTTTACAATAAAATAAGTGATGAAATACAACCTCAATTTTGTAAGTCCATTATCCTCTTTTTTTTCGAAATTTCACAAAATTGCAAATATCTCCTGAACTATAAAATTTTGGACCACACATAGGGATTCATTCGATAAGTTTTGAGGCCCTCTATCACCTGACTTCCGTTGATCCACTACTAACCTTACACCCTGTATATAATAAACGTAAGAAAGAAAACATAACATGTGACTTCCACATAATCCATTTCAGTGTTTTAGACATCATGCTTTATAAACCAATCAAAATGTTTAAACTACCATGTAAAACCCGTTGAAACCAAAATATCTGTTTGTATAGATTTTTTATGAATTTAATATTAAGATTTGCTAAGCAAGCACACTATAAGTATGGAGGGTGAGGAGTAGTAGCACAGATGTTGCAAGACTATTAGTAAACAATTCCTACTAGCTGTTTTATCTATTGTCTACCAATTAAAAGAATATATTTTTTTAATAAAGTGTTTATCATAGACGATGAGTGTATGTTATTCCTCTATTTGATATTAAATAATTATGTTTCAGTTCGAAATTACAGATATAAAGTGATAAACATTAGTGTAATTGTGTCTAAATATAGGATTTGTGGAAGATTTAACGTAGATAAGTTCAGTTTTCCATCATAAAAATCTAGACATACTTTTGATCATTATCAAAATATAATCCATTTCAGTGTTTTAGACATCATGCTTTATAAACCAATCAAAATGTTTAAACTACCATGTAAAACCCGTTGAAACCAAAATATCTGTTTGTATAGATTTTTTATGAATTTAATATTAAGATTTGCTAAGCAAGCACACTATAAGTATGGAGGGTGAGGAGTAGTAGCACAGATGTTGCAAGACTATTAGTAAACAATTCCTACTAGCTGTTTTATCTATTGTCTACCAATTAAAAGAATATATTTTTTTAATAAAGTGTTTATCATAGACGATGAGTGTATGTTATCAATATACATGCGCTACATATATGGAAGCAATTATAAATCTTACATGATAGGTAGGTGTGGCATCGTAAGCTTATATTTATTTGAAACGTTTGTATTTTTAAGTTTTCATTTTCATTACTAGTACTGTACGCACGACTAACTTTATTGAAGCTGTTTTTGTGTTTGTAGATATATTAAATTACTTGATGCAAAAGCAGTTGCCTTAGATCATACACCCCAGTCTCTGAAAATAATTTATCAGAAGGATAAGTAATTTTTTTGCCAGATACTACTTTTAACGTTCATATTTGTAGTATATCCAGAGGTTGCAAATGGCAATTTGCGTCACTCCCCCAAGTGACTTAACTAATGAATAATACAACATTTTCAGGTGCATGTAGTCTATGAGATTTTACTAGTGTTTAAAGCGATATAAGAGTTGTCGTAAGATATTTGTAACGTTAGTTATATGCATCCCATCTCAAGTGGCGATTAAGGATGACACCGAAGTATTTATAGTTTTTCACAGATGTTAAAGGTATACTTTTATTTGTTAAAAGTTGTTCAAATTGAAAAAGACAACGTACTGAATTAGAAAAATTCATAAGGAATGTTTTCTTATTATTTACGGCTAAAACTGTATCAGAAAATATCGAACATAGTTCTTAGATCCCGCTCTGCTTTGATTTTTAGATGTATATAGTATCTACTAACGTCATTCAGGACTGCCGCATCAAGTGCAAGCACTTGACCACATGAAGAAGTAGGAAATGCTGCTTATGTTAATTGTAACCAACACACCCTGTGGTAAACCATGATCAACTCATTATTGAATGTGGCGCACTTGCTTTCGACTCACGTGGTACCTTGTAAACAAACTACAATCCTTTGTTGCATATGTCAGTAGAATACAGTCGAGTAAGTTCGCAAGTACGCAAACCGCGTTCGCACAATGAACAGAATTAAATTATGTAATTTTAATTCTAACCAAATTGAAGCTTTTACATAACAACAATCTTCAAAATTGATTTTATGGATCAAATTTAAAAGTCCGACTTAACAATGCCGAGGCACCCTTCCATTTGACGAGCTTCCCCCTCCTAGAGGTACCCCTCCATTGAGAGGAAGGGGAACGAAGAGAAGAAAAGCGAAACTCTTCCACCGGTTCCCTTTACACACAATCGTTGTCTGATTCGATTCTCTGGGCAATCAGACCTGAGAGACCTAATAACGTACGAGGAGTGGGAGAAAGGTAATTTTTTATTTGTCCAAGTATTTATTTTCTCAAACATCAATACAGTGGACCCGCGGCAATCCGGGCCCTGTCTAATCCGGCGCCCCTTATAATCCCACACGCCTACCACTGATGATTGCACATACAAATTTCTGCAACTCTAATATAATGCAGAATTGGACATATTGTAACTTATATGAGCTGCTACTATTGTGCTCGGCATGTATTGTTTCAGTTCACTCAAAACTTGAAAGAGGGTAAATCTGTTCGTATTTAATTGGTCACTCAACATACTTAATATATATTTTATACATTAATGAGATTTGTAATATTTTAGATTATTGTAAACTTCAGATATTTGCAGATGATACATTGATATACATATCATATGAAAATATAGACACTGCTTTAAAAATGCTAAATTCTGTCTTGGAAAAAATCGTAAATTGGTTAAATGTAGATAAACTAAAATTGAATACTTCTAAAACAAAATGTATGCTAATAGGGAAATACCTAAATGAAAATACTATCACAGCTAGGATAAATGGAGAAATAATTAAAAATGTTGTATCAATTAAATATTTAGGTATGATGGTAAACTAAAGTTTGAGGATCACTAAGAATACTTATTTCAAAAATTGTCGAAAAAACAAATTACTTTTATAGGGCTTCTCATAGTCTTGGCACCTATTCCAAGAAAATAGTTTATAATACAATTATTCTATCCCATATTGTTCAACTATCTTGTACTGTATTCTCAGAATTACAAGTCTTGCAAAATAAAGCTATGAGAACAATATTGAATAAAAATAAGTACACCAAAATAAAATCGTTGTTACAAGAATTGCAGTGGTTGAATATAAAAAATTTCGTACCATATTTGGTTCTTATTTTTATATTCAAAATAAAAAATCATCTTTTGCCAGAACACATAGAATTGAGTAATCATTTCCACAATTATTATACAAGAGAAAATATAGACTTTCATTTACAAAATTGCAATAGTAATATAACCAGCAAATCAATATTTCAGAAAGGATTATTTGAATTTAATAAACTAAATAATGGTATAAAGTCTACTTGTAATTTAAAGATATTTAAAAGAAAATTAAAGGAATATTTCATGGACAATGAAAATTCTTAGAGGTGCAAATTTTGTTCTTTTTTCTGAATATCTGTATGTTATGTAATTGTTTAGTTTTTTAGAAGAATGTAATTGTAGCAATCATGCTAAATAAATCTTAAACAAAAATATTAAACAACGGTCTGATCTCACAAGAGTGTTCACACTTTCGATGTTTTCGGCGGTTATCAAAGTTGAACAACTCCTGGAGCGGGGTTCATCATCAACGTGTTCCCTATCTTTCAAAAATTATTTGCGCCAGTTTAAAACTTGACCTAGCATTAAGAAATCTTTGCGATAGGGTTGTTTCAACTTTTCAAATGTCACTCTTGGCGATTCTCTAAGCCTGTCACAAAATTTTACGGCAAAACGTTGCTCCAAATTCCGCTATTCCATTTTAAGTGACTCACAACCAAATCACAAGTTTACTAATAGCAATCCCTAAAATCACGTGGTCACCGGACGGAGTTGAAACTCGCATGCAGTGATGCCAGTCTCATTAATTTTCTGCCAAACCTCGTATTGTTCCTTTAGGTCCGTATCGTCAGTCGTTCCTACAATTGTAGGAAGCCTTTATAGCCTCCTTGATTGTCATAGTTTTCTACTTTTCCGTGTCAGCGCTCTATTTTGAGATTATATCACAAACATCTATTTGCATCAAATTGTGCATGCTTTTGATTTATATCATGTTTTATCAACCTGAAATTTCCTACAATTTAAAAAGAAAACATATCTTCACAATAGGAGAGCGCTGACGCTGACACAGAACAGGTGCAATCTAGAAATTTTTAAAGGAGAGAAAGCAGTATGACAATCAAGGAGGCCATAAAGGCGTCCTACAATTGTAGGAACGACTGACGATACGGGCCTTAGTTTTCAATCTACTCCTGAATGCAGTTTCTCTTAACTATACTCGTATTAGATACTAACCTCTAAAAAATCATAAACTACAAACGGCAGCTGCTCATCTATCACTGTCAAGTCTTTAGAAAATCTATTGATAATGCTTCCTATAGGCGTCACATCATGAAAATACATTAAAGCACCCATTATGCTTCTCACCATCAAATTCTGAAGTCTGTTTGAGGCAGTTCTTGTAAAGTTAAACAGAAGAGTAGCTGTTATCACAGACAATACCTAAAGAATAAAAATATTAAACATATCAGTGATGACATAAAGGCAATGGGCAGTAATCTAGAAGTAATAGTATGTTCTAGAAGTTTTGGCACAAAATTCATTGGGCCGTGATCGTGTTGGATTTGGTCCAGAGCTTCCGGCTACATCTACGGTAGCCATCTTCAGTGACGCTGTCGGCGAGGGCGAAGTGCTCAGCTTGACGAGTCGACTGAAACTGATCGGTTTACTGGATGAGCGTGCGGTTTTATAGGCGATCGGCGGATTGAGGACTGGGTTGTCTGGGCCTCTCGAGTGACGTGGCTTTTGCGCTGTGATTTTTAGAATTGGGAACCACATTTTGTTTAAATCAAGGCCTTCTTCTTTTCTATTGAAATTATTCTTGGGTTTGTAGATTTCAATTGCTTCTGTGTACATTCGGGCTGAGTAGTAGGTGGATGTTGATAGACTGTATGGTCTACCAAAAATTCACGAGCCATCTGTCCTCCTTAGACCTATTGTCAGTGCGATCGGGTCACCTACTTATCAACTAGCGAAAGATCTAACGAACATGCTCCAGTCTCAAATAGGGCACAGCCAGTCATAAGAAAGATACAGAACATCCGGCTCACGCCAGACGACATTTTGGTCAGTTTAGATGTAGTGTCACTTTTCACAAATGTCCCACTAGACCTACCACTGGATTACCTGAAGCAATTTTTTCCAGAGGATATCCTGACCTTGTTTTGACACACCCTAACAACTACATATTTCCAGTGGAACAATCAATTTTATGAACAAACTGACGGCGTCGCAATGAGAAGTCCGCTAAGCCCGGTAATCGCCAATTTCTACATGGAACGGTTCGAGGAAGCAGCACTGAACACCGCTTCCAATCGTCCCAGTTGTTGGCTACGGTATGTGGATGATACATTCGTGGTATGGAGCCACGGAAGAACAGAACTAGCAGGGGTTCTAAATCACCTAAACAGCATTCACCCCAAAATCAAATTCACAATGGAGATAGAAGGGGGCAATCAACTGGCCTTCCTAGACGTATTGGTGGTCAGACGAGAGACCTTAAAGCTGGGTCACAGGGTTTACCGCAAAACAACAAACACTGACAGATATCTACACAAGGATTCCAGCCATCCTGCGATACCTGCAGGGGGAACTGGACCATTTAACATGGATTTACAGGCAAACGGCTATCGCAGGGAACAAATAGAACAGGTTTCAAGACAAAAACTTTCTCCATGAGCATCATGCTAATGACCATATAATGTTTTGGCCAGGCCTAGCATCCTGCCATTACTCAAGAGATACCCAAAACTGGCTTCGACAGCACAACATGTTTTTTGTTCCCAAAAACGATAATCCACTAAACTTGCCCCAAGCTCGCTCAATATAGGATTTTTGGGCTTTACTGTTTAGGAAGGTTTACCATGGAGGCTGGGAAGCCCAAGGTGAGGAACAGTTAAGATGGCGAATTTACGCAAAACCGAGAGAAATTGATCTGAATTCCGTACCCAACTAGCAAAGTAGTGCTATAAGCTTTTGGTAAAAGAACCGTTCAGCCATAAAAGCTCTCTATTGTTGTTGCCTGAACACCAAAATGCTGGCTTAATGTTGTGTGGAATGCAAGTTTGCTTTCTGCAACATATTTGCTCTAAAATGAGGTGTTTAAAATATTCTTATAGCATAGTTACACAACACCTTATAGGGCAAATTTTTAACTGTTGCATAAACGTTTATTCAACTATTTTATACGGCATATTTGCAGGTTAGTCAAAATGGTTGTGTTGTGGCATCCATGGTAACGTTTATAAAACAAACCCGAGCCTTGTTGTTATGCTGTGCAAATTTACTACTTTAGCCAACAAATTGGTCCCAACGGGAGCACTTATACAACTGTTAAAGGCTGTACATATGCTAAATATGTTGGTATACAACTTCACCATAACCTAACTTTCTGCTGTCAAATTTTTGTTGAAATGCCATAACCAATGTTTTAAGACAAACAACGCATGCATATTGGTTAAAAAGGTTTTATCAACTGTTCAAACAGAAGATATAAATCTGGTACAAATTCTAGGTAAATCATTCGACTCTGTCGGTGTTTCACTTCTGACATTTCTTAAATTGTTGTATAACACCTGCAGGCAACACCAAAAGATTCTAATAAACTAAAGACAACATGGACGATGGCATGATTATACACAACCACCCGCCATATTGGGCAAACATTTATTCCTCTATTTGATATTAAATAATTATGTTTCAGTTCGAAATTACAGATATAAAGTGATAAACATTAGTGTAATTGTGTCTAAATATAGGATTTGTGGAAGATTTAACGTAGATAAGTTCAGTTTTCCATCATAAAAATCTAGACATACTTTTGATCATTATCAAAATATGAATCAAATATGAAGCCCGTAGAAATTGCGTAACTACTTTGCACGATAATCACAATAAAATTTGCTGCGCAAGTAATTCAATAGCCCTATATCACAGTGTAGAAGTTATCATATACCTGTGGATGAAATTCACAATGGCCGATATGTAAGTAAACAAGATGACTGTAATGTGTTAGTTATATATTCTTCACTTCGTCTATACAATACATAAGAAATAGTTTGGTTGCAATAAAGTAGAATCACGTAAGAGAATAGTTGCATAGTTGACAAAAACTGAATCTTGCACTGACGCAAATGTCGTATAGCGGCTGCAAGAGGCTTACACTTTTGTTGTATAACTGTTACCTGCAGCCCTTATACAACCTCTTAAATGACTGAAGTGTCCTATTAGGTGTGCCCATTCCGGTTGTATAGCTGCTCTAAGAGGGTTTTGCCAATGTTCTTACAGTATACAATGCTGTGTAAGGAATACTGTATAATCATTCTTGCAACTCTAATAGGAGTGATAATTGTTAGTTGGGTAGGACCTCATGAAAGACGTTCGAGGAAAGTTGCGTCTGGAAGAGCAGAATGGGCCACTCCACATAATTCGATAGTATAGTTTAGTTAGGTATTGAGTTATAATTTATGATAACTAGTTAGTGTTTGAATGAATTTTTTGATCCAAATTAAAAATCCGATAAATATGTTGTCCCGGACTTTTAGGACATACGTTAGTTAGGCTGGCGGTCATGTCTAAAGGTATAAACAGACAAAGATGTAAATCGTTGATAAGCCTTTCACGTCAAGAGACATCAAAACGAGACGAAGTACCATGAAAATAGGTTAACTTTATATCAAAGCTGTCTTTTTCGCATCTGACTAGTTAGACCTAAAACCACACTTCCGCCGCCTAGCGGGAGCAGAAATAAACATCGCTGCCAAGTATAAGTAACACAAGAAATTCATCAAGTATTCAAGAACTTACGTTAATAATTCCAAAATCGATACACTTACCACTGTACCCAGGATCAAACAAGAATAGAGTATCAAAGTAAAATTGTAGCGTGTCATTAGATCATCTGATATTTTGATGTTCTCATGTTTGTAAAGCGAAATGTTTTCTTCCAAATTTACCCTAGAAACATAGTAATAGTTATCAGATATCCTTATAGGCCGGCGATAGGATGGAACTGCTCTGAGCTTAAAAAACTGGCGTGAAGTTGATTAATTCTGCACTTTCCATGGAACAATGTCATCAGTTCATAGAATATTATATTCGATGCTTGTATAAGACATAAATTGAATACGTCGAGACAAATAGATTCATACAATCAAGCCGCACTTCTCAACCCATTTGACAAAGTTGCGATCTAGCTGATCGCAATTGCGAGAGGTAAACCGGCCATCTTAACGGCTATCGTGTTACAAGTTTATCTTCTATTTTCGTTGGACATGGATATGGAACCTATTTTGGTTCTTAAACCTTAAGTGCAAATATACGAGGAAATGTCTGGATGGCATGTGTCTAATGGCTATCCTATGATTACCGGGGTTGAAAGCGAATAAATATATTAACGCCAATAATTGAGACATACTTTCCTATATTACTTTCAAACTCCCACCCTCAAAGCGGTTTTAAAAAATGTGTAGGAGCCAAAAAACAAAGTATGGGTGATTTTTATATTTTTCGTCTTTTTGTCCGAAGGGTAAGCTGATGCCAATATTTCATCAAAATCCGAGCAGTACTTTCCAAGACAGGATTAGCGGACAGATCGGCGGAAATGAGTGCCATGGTTTTTCGTGATCACCATGAATCGTCCATAAAACATAATATGACATTTTCGAAATGTTTCCTCGGCCCCAAGCAAAAACGTTAAATTCAGATCAATAAATATTATTAAAAGAAATAAAACAACTCATAATGTAACAGATGCCCATAATCCTGACAGTTGACTTGTTGAACTTTGATGTACTGGGATGAATTTCATAAATAAGATAGTTCCATTGTTTATTTTTTTTCAATTCCGGTAGAACAAAACGTCTCCATCAAAGATTGCTATGAGCACAAGTATGACCGAATATTGACATACAACGAAATTGGATACCGCGCGAAACTCAGTAATATAATTCGAGGTATTTGTACCTACATATTCTCACCCATAAGTCAGATTTTTTTATGTTTTAGCTCATGCAGCAAAATTCCTAGCGTCGGCCCATGAACCATTCTCAGAATGTTCATCAATTACCAGTTGCTTACCATCTTCTCCGAGTAGCTTTTACATGTGTGCGTTACGATGAAAAATAAAATAATAAATACGCCAAGAAAATATCCTCCACCAAGTTTTATATATTTCTTATAAACTGCTTTTTCTACCTTCCCCGACTTTTTTTCTTCGCAGTATACGTTAGGCTTCTGTTTTGAATCTAATAATTTAGTGGACTCATCCGCCTCGTCATAATCTCCAAGTGTCACGTCACATTTTTCTTCCATCACAGGTTCTACGTAATTAAACTTTGTTATTTTTCTCCCAAAATAATTCTCCAAATAATTTTTCATAAACAGGGGCAGATCAACGGGTTTCAAATTGCTGATTCTCTCGTTCATGGAATATAATGTTAGTCTAAACATATTAACAAATTTCCCCGAAATGATTGTAAAGTCAGGTTTTATTGATGCAAGTTGTTCAAGGGTGTATTCAAAACATGGACGGATAAAATGGGTATACCAATTTTTGTGCAAAAACTTTTTATTTGACAGCACCTTTGCTCTCATCCTTATGAGAAAACATGTTTTTTGGGATTCAATCGAAAGTGTTCGTAGGAACGGAAAAACTTTATATAATATTTTTAGATATTTATGAGACCTACAAAATGAGACCACACGTAAAAAGATCCTACTAATAGCAAAAATGTTATGACCGAAAAACGAGTCAAAATGCAGGTTTCAGCATTTGTTGGTAATGCGACGACAATTTCACGCTACTGTTTGAAATTCTTCAAATCCTTAGGATTCATAATTCTAAATAACAACAACAAAATTGGAGAATTTTTAATTGCTTATCCCAAATTCCAGTTTTCCGGCCATCACTACTAGTTTATTGAACAATATACAAGGTTCGTTCAAAGAGCATTTTATAACAAAATACACGTGTTTACCTTGCCGATATAAATCAGAAACCATTCCGAAAGATAAACGTTATTTTTATGCGAAAAAAAGGTTACGTTTTTTCCCTTCTAAACAAATTCAAACATTTCGTATTTGTGAGTAATTGAACAAATGCGCTACGATATTCGAAAAACATACCTATATACATTTCAAAACAAAGCGGAGATATATATATATATATATATATATATGTATATATATCATCCTTTGATGCGAATTACTCACAAAAACGAAATGTTTGAATTTGTATAGAAGAAAAAACGTAACCCATATTTTTGTACATAAAAATAACATCTATCCTTCAGAATGGTTTGCGATTCATATCGGCAAGGTAAACTAGTGTATTTTGCTATAAAATGCCCTTTGAACTAACCCTGCATGTTGCTCAATACACTAGTGGTGATGGCCGGAAAACAGGGGTTTTTTGATAAACAATTAGAAATTCTCAAAAACTATTTGACCAGTCTACTAGAATTTTGCCGTGGTTATTTATAAGTACAAATCCTACGAATTTAAAAAATTTCAAGTATCTGCGAGAAACCATCGTCGTATTACCAACAAGTGCCAAAACCTGCAGTTTGCCTCGGTTTTCGACCATAACTTTTTTGCTACTAGTCGGATCTTTTTACATGTGGTCTCATTTTGTAGGTCTCATAAATACCTGAAAATCTTGTATAAGGAGGTTTTTTGTTTCTACCAAGACTTTCGATTGATTCACAAAAAACATATTTTCTCATTCTTTGTTGTCGAATAAAAAGTTTTCGCTCAAAAATTGGTGTTCCCATTTTATGCGTTCCTGTTTTAAATACCCTCTTGAACAACTTGCAGCAATAAAACCAGACTTTACAATTATTTCGCGAACCAGTGGTATTTTCGTCTAATATGATTAGACTAAGTGACACAAATGGGAGAGAATATTGCTTGTAAGCAGAAACTTCACAAAAAAACTATTGGCGGGTCATTATTCATGTTATCTGCGGACAGAATGCTCACAATCAAGTGTCCTAATTTTGATCCACACATCAAAGTTGATTTTCTAATGAAATACCATATATTCAATTACATATTCCGATACGCCCTTTTGGAAGAAGATTGATTATTAGTTGTTGGGCTTTTATCTGAAAACTAACGTCCAGTAGGTTGACTATATACTTCCCATGCGTTCAAAACAGCTTTTAGTACAACTTTCCATGTATGTAGTGTAATGGCATCAAAAAGACGTAGGTTTTTTGAGAACCATTAGTGCACCATTTGCGCTTTTCATGAAAAGTGATCATCAGATTGCAGCAATAAGCTTGTCGGTACACGGTAGCCTCATCTGTCAGCATAAATATATTACCTGAATCTTCTTTTTTCGAAAGAGTTTATCCGAGCATGTAAAAAATATGGCATTTCGTAAAAAAATCAACTATAATATGTGAGTCAAGAGAAAGGAAAACTATGAATAATTGTGAGTACTATATAAATGTGCACCCAGATGCTGTGTGTAATATCCCATATTTTATCTGATAAATTCATGTTTAGAAGCAATATTTTGTCATTGCCTGGATGTAACACCTTGTAGGTAAAGCTGTTGAACACACGACCAAGTTGCTCATAAAATAATAAAACAAAATGCTCCTACCCTTCACATGTTGTTTTTCAGCATTAATAACCCCACGAGATTTCATTTGCACCACACCATTTTCAATCCATAGTATCCCGTCAGCCTTATAAAAAAAGTTGTTATTTTGGGTGACGAAAATGCAAATCTTCCCAGTCATAAACCTTTGCAAGCATTCTTTAAACACGTATTCCTGAACATGTATGTCCAAAGACCTTAGACAATCATCTAATAGGTATACATCTGAATTCCTATATGCAGCTCTTGCCAAACTGATTCTTGCTTTTTGACCACTGCTGATGTTAGATCCTTGTTCCTTCACCATGAAATCGTCCCCTAAAATCGAATATCATTCTTGTAGCTCAGGAAAAGTCCTCACATAAAATATTCTGATTCAGTTTTTTACATAATAAGTATAACGTAAATTTCATTCTTGGTGTCCACGCTACGAAAAATTCCATGCGGGTGAAATCTTGTGGTCTTATTGGCCATACAAATTAAATACGTGTGGATCGTGGGGTGATTGATTGCACTAAGGAATTATCACTCGCGTTCCTATTTCTCTTATAATCGCCAAAGGATGTTAGAGAAATACTTCAGTAACTTTTGTAGAGTAGCTTTTATAGAGGCATCAGCAACAGTTGAGAACAGAAGAACAAGTAACGAAATGAGTACAGAGAATAGTCAAAGACCCTTTTTATATTCTAGGATTAGAGTTACGAATTTTCCAGAAATCAGTAGTGACTTCGATGGTGTTAATGCTTTAAGGTAATGACATCAGGATACCATAACTTACATTATCACTAAAGCGACACATTATCAAAATAGCCTTGGACCTCCATGATGACTAAAGTATGAAAATCGAGAAGCCTTCTACTTACCTCCTGGAAGTCTGTCTCTATCAAGAGTAAGAGCGCACACTTTCAATACCTCCTCGTACCTGTTTCTATCAAACTTCTCGCCCAAAAGTATGTTTTGTTTCAAAGTAGAAGGAAAAACCCATGGTTCCTGAGGAGCGTAAGATACCCGGCCATTTACAAGCACGGAGCCCTCCTTGCAACTTATGTCATTCAACAGAAGTCTTAGGAGTGTGGTTTTGCCAGAGCCTATTGGACCTGAGATAATTGTCAGCCCATTGTTTACTTCGAAGGAGATTCCTTTCAGAACTGTGTGACCCCGTATTTCTACTGTGGTATTTCTTACGTTTACTTTAGCATTTTCGTTTATCCTGAAGACAAAATCCAGTAATTTAAACATTGATGGGTTAAGGCTAGCGCACACCAGGACGTGGTGGAAGAAATCATCATTAAATCCCTCCCATCCGTGGCAGTATACACTGTCACGGACGCTCGTGCAATCACGGAAGATTTTTTCCGACATTATACAGTTTGTTTCTGCGAAAGGTTGGTTAATCTCGAAACTGGAGGTGAACTGACCTAAACATACCTTAGTCCAAAAGTTTATAGTTTGCGAGATACAGGGTGTCAAAGTTACAATGATATTTCCTATTTTGCCTTATTGCTGGAGAAGTTTTACAGATTTTAGCATAAAACTCGGTATAGGGAGACTTTCTAGTATGAAAATACTAATAGTTTTCGAGATATATGTTTTTAATAGTTCCAATGCGTTATTTGTACCATGATGATAAAACATTTTTATAACATAATGATCAAGTTGCTTTGGATAATATCTGAGTAGCGTTGCTATGGTTTCTAATATTTGTCATAATATTGCTTTAAACTTTATGTATAATTTTAAGTTGACAATAAGTTTTTAAACACCATAAATATTCTGGTATGCATTTAATGTACGGATTGGCAGGATGTAATACTTTAAAGACAAATATCTGAAAAACTTTCATCTTTAGACGATAAGTACAAGTAACAAGTAAACCTTTTTTGTTAAGAAAATACAATAAAACAAGATTTTTGGTCAGTTGTTGTATACAGGGTAGCACAAAAAAGTTATGATAAGTTATGTGAAATATATAATATAATATGAAATAGTGCTCTAAGTGACGCTCCCTAGAAGTTTGATTTGTAGTATCTCCAATTGATTTCCCAACCTTTCGCAGACCCTGTATATACTTTAGTACAAAGTCTATCTTTTTTAGTTTTTTTTTATGAAATCCTTGAAAAAACTAAAATCAAGCAATTAACAATTGTTTGTCCAATAATCAAAAGCAACTCCTCTGTTGTATTATTTTTCTGATTTATCTTGATCTTATACAGATTGTTTTCAAGTTATCCAAAGATGGTATACACGTAATAAAAAGAATTAATGCTTACTGTTTTATGAAAAATTTGGCAACAGAGAAGTATTAAAGAACTTTCACCACCTTTGCTTTAGCTTATGTTTTACGAAGCTATACAACCATGATTTTAACTCTCAATACAAATATTACATATTAGAACAAGCAGAAACTCGGTGAAATTGCTGAAAGCCATAAAACATTTTTCATAAAATATAACACTATGTAGTGTAGACATTAATTCACTCACAAAATGCAAACCAGTATTTCTTATGTATTTTCCTGTCCTTATTTACTCCTGAACTAGCTAGTGACCCGGATCCACAGTAGCTTGTAGCAATACTGAAGAAGCTTTAAAAAAATGAAAAACACTATTTAATAGAAAATCCAACTAATAAATAAAAAATAATTACAAGTACTGCAATAGAAAGTCCAACAATCAGGTATGACCAATTACTTTGGAATAAGATCAATGTAAAGCTTAGGATATCAATACAAATGCAATTATAGTAAAAAAACATTATTTCGAAAAATACACGTGCATCGCGCTTTTGTACTTCTAGGGTGTGTCGCTTAGACTAAAGTTATGTAATGTTTGTTGCATTTATGTATACTAAATTTGGAATTGCACAGTTGCCACAGCTCCCCATTGAACCGTGGAACCGATTCTCTTTTAGTAAACTGACTACTATCACAGAAATATCAAACAAATGTAAGCAATGCATAATAAATAATGGACTACATTCCGTGATTCAGTGGATGAATAATTTTGTCACCCTCAAGTGCATTAGTTTATGGAAAATCTTCAATAAAATGTTGCCTTTTCCTATTTTTGTTAGCGTCTACGTCTTCCCTGGATAACTTCGCAAATATTTTCATAACTGTGTGAATTTGTTGTAATGAAAAAGTTTAATTTAATTCATATTATCGATATATAGAACTCGCGAACCTTGTACAACCGCACGGGTATTATGTAAAAAGCCTATAAAGCGTCAAAAAAAAAACCTATAAGATGTCATCTTGCATACAAGTTAGTTTTTAGGGTGCAAACTGTCGTTCTCCGTTTGCTCACTAAGATCGTTGTGAGCGCGATCCAAAGCGTCCATCTATGGAAGAATGCTCGTCTCTTTCCAAGAATGCGTTGTTGGTTGCAGCCAGCCACTTTGTTTGTGAAATGTGTTAGAACGAAAATTTGGTTGAGTAGCAGCCATACCGCACCTGGACTATTGTGTTGGTCTGCATGTGTATAAAATCTGTGATATTTGCTATGTGAGAAAATTATTACTGACTATGCTGCCAATGAAGTATATCTTTCTGAAGAGAGGTTATGCTCAAAGCTATACATTACGATTTTTTCCTTTTGTGTTTTCAAATCTTTGAGAAGAATTACGGGAAATCACCACCGCGCCCGCGTTGTGTGTAATTACTATAACCATGTATATGACTTGTAATTCAACAGTCTACAGTGAATATAATTATTTCTTGTCTCTCATTTTTTAAATTCAGCGAATTTGCATATGTAATTCCCAGAATGGATTAGGAAAAGTGGATGCGCAACTAAATTCATGCCTTGAATCTCAATTAAGTGTATTTGAGACAAGAATCCAATGGAATTATCATCAGCACACATGCCATCTCTGAAGCAGATTTTACATCACATCAGAGCCAAACATTGATAACTGAAACATCATGACGTTTAGGCAACACATACAACTACAAACGAGTTCACGACAAGTGTCGATCACCTAGTACTAAGTTAACATCTTGTCGAAAAAACTACATAATGTCAAAAAAAATAGTATAATGTCAAAAAAAATCGATATAACGTCACTTTTCAAGATACGTAATACCCGTGCGGCACTCAATGAATTTTTTATATAATTTGATCTTATCATTGTTTGGCCTGTCTTATCAAGTAAGTGACATAATGAATGTCACTTCAACAACATAGGCCGTCAGAAACTGAGATATACTTTCCCGAAGGATTTTCATGCACTGAATCCAAATCCGTGGTCCAAATCTCTCAATTAGTTCTAATTTCCGCAATATTATAATCTAAAACTGCAAGAACAGCCATTGTTGCCTATATTTGAGGTTATGTAGCACGGCGAATAATTTTTTTCTAGAAAATCATAAACATCATCTCAAAGTACAAGCCTTACCTATGAGTTTGCTTAAACATCTTCATCTAATGCCGAAATATGACTTATAATTTTTCTGATCTAGATGTTTTCAACTTCTATCAGAAGAAAGTAAGCTTTTATTCTGAAAAATGGCATCAAGTAGGTTGTTTTCTCTCCCCCGTCACTGGACCGATTTTCAAAAACTACACAGTTTTTTCATCCCTGACATAGTAGTAACATTGTGTGAATATTTCAACGTAATCCGACAGTACTTCTCAAGTTATAGGCGGGTATATGATTAGCGGTTAGACCGTCAGACGGGAGTGAGTAACAGCTGTTCGTTATATCGAGAGATTTGGAGCACAGATTCAGATTCTGTGCTTTAAAAACCTTCGAAGAAGTGAACTCTGGTTTCTGGGTAATAATCTGGTGGTAGAAACAGTTCCATATGCATACCCTAACATATTATCCTTCAAAACAGTTTTTTCATCGGCATTCTTCGTAACACTCTCCGTTTGAGCAAAGCCTCTATCCTCTTAGCTGAAGCATACAACTCTGCGGACTCAGTGATACCCATAGGAATCACCACGTTGAAAGCGTGTCTCACTCTTTGCAGCAGAGTGAGGATAAAGTAAACCAGCTCTGCTGAAATAGGGTTGCCTAGCCAGACGTACATCATTACCATGGCAAAGAAGGCTAGTTTTGAGGTCAAGGCGCCCAGGAGAAGGATCATTACCTTTCTTATGAATATCTTCACTAGGCTGTTTATCTCGATCCTAAAAATCAAAGAGCACATAGGAAACATATGTCAAGTGTGTGATCACTCCGGGGCTGCATGTGACAGGATTATAATACATGACCAATCAAAGCACTTCAACAAAAATAATATTACTAGATTTTTCAGTGAAACACTTTCCATGAGCGCTCGCAGGAAGTTTTATCTGGGAGACGTGACAATACTATAATGATAAGATTATTCACGTATTGTACAAGCATAACTAAAACTAACATACGTATACCTAAATAAAGTTACCCACAGCAAAATTAATTGTGCATGTTAATGAACTCATAACCTAAATATATATACAGGGTGGCCCATCCATGTGTGGACTGAATATTACTCATAAAAAATACATTTTAGGAAAATCTGTTAATGGGATGTTATACATGACATTTGAGGGCATATTTCTAAAATATTGGCCATTATACAGGGTGTCCCAATGTCGACCTACATATCAAAGTTGTGATTTTTTAAAGGAATGCCTCAAATCTTATTGCATATTTGGATAAGCCAATTCAAAAGAAGAAAATTGATATAACACACTATGGAGTTTTGGTAATTAGCTACTGAGATATAAGGTGTTTTGCCTACAAAAACCCTCCACCTCGGCAACCCCTCAGTCCGCCATTTTGAAATTTGGAGTGCTAAATTTTTTATCACTTAACACACCACAGCTTTTATCGTATTTGTTACTTATTCGAATTTTAATTTTTGCTCATACAGGGTGGTCAAAAACGCAAATTGTAGTTTTTCTCAAAAATTTCAAATGCATCACCCTATATATTTGTGCAAGTTTGGATTCAATTTTTATAGGCTTTTTTGATACTAGACACAAGGGTTTTTACGGCTATTTTTTCGGTTATTACCACGTATTTTATGGAACGGCGTAATTCCCTAAAATATCGCATCATCCTTGGAAACAAATAAATTGTTGATTAGTTACAAACTGTCAAAATTGGTTTTGTGAGCATTATAATAAAAAGCTGTTTGAAAATGAATTTTTCTACAGAAAAAATGGTGAATATGGTGTTCGTTAGAAATAATTTCCTGTCATCTCGCATTTATAAACAACGGTACCCTAATATGCGACATCCAAGGCCAGAAATATTTCCCGTACTACGAAAACGTTTTGAATCAAGTGGAGCAGTGTAATATAGTAAAAAATATAGAAATAATCCAAGTATCACCAATGAAGCGAATCAGTTGGAGGTTCCATTAAAGTTGCAGGAAAATCCCCATTTAAGTGCACGGCAAATTGGAGCAGAAACTGATATATGCAGATTTTGTGTCCAAAAGTTTATTCACAAGCATAGGTACCAGCCATATCACCTATGCTTGCATCAAGGCCTTCGTCCTCAGGATTTCGCAGCTCGAATGGAGTTTAGTAGAATAATGCTAAATAACTTGAGTGAAGACACTACTTTCCTGAATAAGGTTCTTTTTAGGCAAATAGATTTCCAAAATGAATGGAGCTTGAATGTTTGGGGAGGGGCTATTGTCAGACAAGTTGTCGGGCCTTTCTTTTTCGACAACAGATTAACAGGTACTTGAATTTTTTGCTCGAGCATTTGCCTTTGCTTTGGAGGATGTCAACCTGATGGCATACCTGCGCATTATTATAATCGTGTGCATAACTATTTGGACACCTGCAGTAACAATCGTTGGATCGGTCATGATGGGCCTATATCTTGGTCTCCTAGGTCACCAGATATGACACCGATGGACTTCTTTCTATGAGGCTACGTTAAGCAAGAGGTTTATAGATATCCGCCATCTACGCCGGAAAATATGAAGGAAAGGATCAAGGATGCTTTTCTGAACATAAGGAAACACGTATTGAGGGACGTGCAACGGTCATTTATCCAAAGGCTACGGCTGTGTATTCAACAGAAAATATTTTCGAGCAGTTTTTGTAGATTAGGTATTGAGTAGTAATAGTTGTTTGTTTATGTTGTTGTTATAGTTGTTTTTCTCTATTACGCTTGAAGCTGATTTATACTGTTCTGATTGTTATTAGTATTTACGTCAAATCTGTACTCTTAGTGGCAATATGGCTAGCCCACTGTTTGTCTTTTGTTTCCATGGATGATGTGACTTTTTCCCTTAATTTTGGTGTGTTGTTCTATTAAAAGCTTAATAACTGAAAATCTAGTGATTTTGTCTGAATCAAACTTTATACTAGAAAAAAAGCTTAAGGAAAATCGAATCCAAACTTGCACAAATATATAGGGTGATGCATTTGAATTTTTCAAAAAGTACAATTTGCGTTTTTGACCACCCTGTATGAGCAAAAATGTAAATTCGAAAAAGAAACGAATAAGATAAAAGCTGAGGTGTGTAAGTTCTTTTTGATATAAAATTCAGCACTCCAAATTCCAAAATGGCGGATTGAGGGGTTGACGACGTGGACGGATTTTCTGGACAGAACACCTCATATCTCAATAGCTAATAAGCAAAACCCCATAGTATGTCATATCAATCTTCTTCTTTTAAATTGCTTTATCCAAATATGCAATAAAATTTGAGGCATTCTACTTAAAAAATCATAACTTTGATATGTAGGTCAAAACTGAGACACCCTGTATAATTGCCAATATTTTAGAAATGTGCCTTGAAATGACATATATGCCATGCCATAAATAGACTTTCCCAAAATGTATTTCATTATGATTAATATTTCGTCCACACATGGATGGGCCACCCTGTATATATGAACGTTGGAGTTTTTACTACTACATTAAATTTAAACTTTCTTCGTGCCTGTCATGCTTGCAATTTGATGTCGATATTTTTCAACTCCAATTTTGCATTTTGTTTTATTTGAAATATAGCTTGTATAATTTGGAAATAAGGTTATATAATCAAAGGTAAGTATGACATCTTGGGCCTATAGTTTTTGAGGTGAAAGCTGTTTGCTTGATGATGTTGATTCTGTTTCTCGTTTGATATAAGTGATCTAACGGAATAAGATAATTTCTATGTAGAAACTACATTATAATTTTATAAAAAAATTGTGGCCTAGGGCCGAACAGTTTTGCTTCAGACTTCAACAGATCAGATGGGTATAGGGGTGGCTTGTCAAAAATTAGGTTCGAAGATTGCTTTTGGATAATTTCTAATTTATTCATTTGGTTATTCAGTGCTCCATCCCAACCTAAAATATTGCATAACTCATACGACTTTCGATCATAGCATGATATAAAATTTGTATTGTTTTTATCCAAATATTTGTTTAGATACTTAAATTTAAACAATAATGGTCTCAGATTGGTCCAATATGTACTATATATTCCACTTTACATGTGAGTCTAAACGTACACCTAGATATTTTATTTTGTTAGTTAAATTTGTTTGAGTATTTATATCACCACAGATAATCTGTACAGATACAAGGATGATTATTTGTTTCTATGATTTGTGAATGGCATGAACACAGTCTTTAGGAAGTTAATAGTTAGGCATTTCATCACGTTGAGGGTCCTCGACTTCGTGTTTGTATTTTACAGGCCAACTATTGACCACCGGGATCATCTTAATCTTTTGCATACTTCATTTTTTTTTAAAATTATTTTAGATTTATAAAGCACTAAAAATTAGAACTGCAGCGCAAGTTCCTTGCTACTGAGTTAAACAACTCAAAGGAGTTAACTCATTGATCAATTCAATTGAACTAAGTACTGAGTTGAGCTGAAAAAACTTTAGTTGAGTTTTACAACACTAGAGATCAATTAGACCCAGCTTACTCTGGAACGAACTTCTGTCTACCCGCCAGCAGCGCTCAAGCGCTTGCAAACCTACGCAAACCAAGCCAAACGTTCTATTCACACGTTTGCGTTTGTGACGATTTGTTTACATACATGTTCAACATATAATTATAAGGTCGAGTCGCTGGTAAATGGCGGTAAATTTAAATTACGAAGTACCTATTAGGACTCTGATTTGTCTCCTTACCTCCTATTACGTGAAATCCTATCTTCAAATATGGACTCCCAATTATACATTTTTATAATTTTTATTGAAGAAACAGCATCTCGTATAGTTTGTAGTCTTTTGTCAGTATTCTTTGCCGATTCCACACGTAACTTGGATACAACTTTGCCAATGTAAACTGAAAAAGAAAATAGCAATTATTACATTCTTGACGATCCTTCAAAAGCCAAACTGCCATCGACGTAAAGAGGCCAATTAATGAGCGAATAGAACAACCAGCAGAATGGATTACTGTAAATACATCCGTTTGTGGTAAAATAGTTGATGGTCCTAGAATTTAATCTCACGATTACCACAACTTGGTCTTTATAGTTGAAACTTACAAACGATGGCAAAACTCATGCACTTTTTCTTTCTCTATTTCTCAAGAGAATGACCAAATTTGAACCGAACATTTTCTAACTCATGAGTAGCATATACGCTCGTACATCGATATCAATCAATATTTCCTTCATGACATCTTGTTCCAAAAGTACCGCATAATATCCTGGGAGCCTGCAACCCACAAACCATGCTAGCAAGATGCGGGTTGCTGCAGTTCCGGCAATATTAACAAATCGGTGGTTATGTCTTTCCTTTATAGGTGACGCTCACGGTTTGTTTGTGAACTATTTTAACAGTGTTAACCCAGTGCAATATTCGCGACTGTCAGATAGTGATGTTTATGTAATAATCAAAATATCCGTGTCAATTGATGGCATTCTTTTTTGTTCCGCAATGTCAATGCTGATGTTCCGCAAGTTTTAGCTCCACCATAGGCATTTCCTAACATTAATGGCGCGAAGCAACAAAAAAGTAAGTTCGCTCTCTGAGATTATTTAAGAGGATAAGCGCCAATTAAAGGGAGCGAGATAGGAGAAGGAACACCGTAGTTAGTTACAGAGGCTGAAAGAAATAAAGATTAGCTAACTTTTATACAGGATATGACCCGTTGAGTTCTTCTTTCTGACAAGACTTGACCAGCCTTCAAAAAAGGCCGTTCGCATGACATAGATGTCGCTATATGTCACAAACTTTTTGTTTAACCATGTCAAATAATGTGGGACAGGCTTTTGTGATTTCCTGCTACCACTTCAAAGCATCCTCTGTTCTTGGTAGAAGCGATTTGTTAAAGTATGCATAACACCTACTGAGACCAGATTTTAAACTCCAGAGACACCTTTTCCCTAAAGGTGAAAATGGTCCCAAAGGTCTGCGCCTGTATTCCTCTTCTCCGGTTCATGGCTTTCTTTGCGAAACTGGCCAAAACAAAAACAAAAGTGTATCCCCCAAGATATCTGAGATTGTTAGAAAGCGTACATATCTCATAGCTAAATACATCTACTATGTGAGCGGCAGTTTACGTGGACTTCGTAGATTTTAAACATCTATCCTAACAGAAAAATGAAAAAACCAAAGGAATCAACAATACGAGGTGTTCTGAAACGGTTATCTATCCAAATAATAACTGCGCCCGACTCTGTTTAGCCCCGGGGATCAGATGAAAGGGGGCTTTTTTACTGGAATGATAACGCGTTATGCCTTATTGTTTCGTAAAATAGTTTCTTCGCGAAGTATTTGCTAGAACCGGAAAGAACTAGAAAGCACATCACTAGTGTATTCAGAAAAAACTTACTCTGAATCGGTATCATAATCAAGAACAGTCCAACTCCAACAAAAGCTGCTACTCCAACTCTCCGATAAAGCAAATAAAATATCACAACCGTTTGGACGCACCCAATCCAAACGTCATTCGCATACATGATCATCGTCTCGAACGCAGCGACATCTTTCGTCATCAAAGTCACTATGTTTCCAGTAGTGATCGTGGTCAGTGACTCAGGGCTCAACCTCAAGCACTTTCTGTAGATCAGAGCGCAGAAAGCTGTGCGTATCCTGATACCCATTGAAGTCAGATGCAACAAATAGTTGTGCAAGTAGGTGATGTTTAGTAGATTGAGGAATATAAGTAAGGCCGCTAAATAGTATGCATCGCAGTCCGTTAGATGAGTTTGGTTTGGCTGGAAGTAATTGATCAACTGTGATATCGTCCATGGTATCGTTACCCTGAAAAATAAATTGGAAATTTTGGTATCCAATATACTGGGCACAATAGATATCGCGCCACTATTATTGTCGTCTCATCAAGTAGTCGAAATACCAGGTATTAACAAGGCAAATAAGCAATGGCTTGCTATGTATTCAGGGTGTTTCGTACCTAAATGAAAATAACTAAATGGTATGTAGTATGGATCAAAGCTTTTTCATATCGGAGAATTAAAAAGTTCTAAATTCAATTTTATGGATATACGGATATATCTAAACATGATAAATCTTCAATAGCACATATCTCAGGCACCGTTAAACCGATTTTGTTGAGAGTACCTGGCACAAAACAGGGGATTTGATCACCAGTCAAGTTTAATAAAAATTGGTATAGTGATAGGTCATGTTGTGTTGATCAAGTGTGTCAATAGGCGCAAAGCCCAGAAATGTTTCTGTTGGAGATACGTGTTGAGGTTTGGTGTCTAAGGCCGGTATCGTCAGTCGTCCCTACAATTGTAGGGTGCGTTTATGGCCTCCTTGATTGTCATACTCTTTTCTCTCCTTCAAAATTTCTAGATTACACTCGTCCCGTGTCAGCGTCAGCGCTCTCCTATTGTTAAGATAGGATGATAAAACATGATATAACTCAAAAGCAAGCACAATTTGATGCAAATAGATGTTTGTGACATAACCTCAAAATAGAGCTCTGACATGGAGAAATAGAAAACTATGACAATCAAGGAGGCCATAAACGCGCCCTACAATTGTAGGGACGACTGACGATACGGGCCTTAGTCCCCTGTAGGTAAGCCTGACTGCACCATTCTACGAAAACTAACTCGTCTTTATTGTAGACTTGATGATATAATAAAAATCACGTGACCACATACAATATATACAAGGTATCCCAATGAAAATGAAAAGTAATTTAATAGCAAAACTATGAAAAAAATGATTGACATTTTATAGGTGAGTATTTAGACTTTATTTGAAGATGGGGGTTTCGTGGCATAACAAACATGTTTTTTTTATAATCCTATAAGCAGTGTTAGGCTTGATACCAGAAGAAACATAAAAAACGCGAATCTGACGATGTAAAGATAAAATATATGAAATGTTTCATTAAAACTTTTTGAGGAAAAATGTTTTGCGTTTTGCAGAAACCTGATAAAATTGTCGTACTTGTTCATCCTCTTTCCACAATTCAGTCAAATTCAGGTGCTTCAAATTAAACGAAAGATGTTTTAGGAGCTCAAAATTCCAGGATCCGATGAAGCTTTCCCTCGAATTGACACTGTTGCAGTTAAAATCGTTTTTTCATAGCTCTATTCTTGTTATTTTTACCTTGTACATTCCACCATCTGTAACGACAACCGAGTTTGAGTATTACTTGGATGATTTGGTATAATTTATTGGAGCTTTTGAATCTTATAAAATTTTCCTAGTTGGTGACTTCAATATTCCTACGTTCAGTATTGATGTAAATGACCGTATGAATCAAATTGTAAGCCAGTTCTGCTCTTCTTACAGCTTCAAAATGCAATAATGTAGTTAATGATAATGCACGGTTACTGTACTTTAGCCAACTTCAATGTCGTTGTTCTGAGGAATGACTTACAGCCTGTTAAGGAGAATCACCACCATCCAGCTTTAGTACTCGAGCTTAATGTTAGTGATATCAAGCGGAGTTTTTCCTTTATTAATATTAGATATAATTTCGCCGAGCAAATTATAATGCTATGTGTGACGCATTCCTATTCACTGACTGGTCTCCAATTTCTGAATCCGATGATGTAAATGTAGCATGTGGTCTTTTATGCAATATTATAAATCATGTGTTTGAAGACAATGTTCCTAAATTCAAGGACTAAATCTCGCACATATCCCCCATGGCTCAATAGGGAGATTATCGCAAATATAAACTGACAGACCAAGGAAAAAATCAGAACAAATAATGCCAACCATCTCCATCAAAAATTTAAACAGATCCGTGCTGAGATTAAGCATCAAATCACAGTTACATATTCAGCATATATTCAGGATGCTGAGGATAAAATTCGTCAAACTCCTACTAAATTCTGGTCATTCGTTAATGCTAGAAGACAAAATTCAAGAATTCCAGAAAATATAATTTATAAGGACATTCATTATAGCTCGCCTAGGGAGATAGTTGATATTTTTGCTGAATATTTTTCAACAGTTTTCACAAAATCTGATGCATCTAACTACAATCATTAAAGCCCACTCGCACAACTAGTGCATTGATCTGTATTAGTGAAGATGATATTATTCGCGCTTCTAGGAAGGTCAATAACAAAATGACTTCAAGATTCGATGGTGTTCCCAATTTTATAGTAAACGGTTGTATTATGTATTGGCCAAACCTCTGTGTGTAATTATCAATCTAATGATATCAACATGTACGTACCCCTCGATCTGGAAAATGACTAAGGTTTGTCCGATTTTCAAAAATGGTGATGTCAGCGATATCTGTAACTGTAGGAAGATAGCTATACTTTTTACCTTTAGCAAATGTTTGAGATCCTAATATACGATGTCTGTATGGCTCTGTGAGAGGATCTATTTCTGACAATCAGCATGGGCTTATGTCTGGGAGGCACAGTCACAAACTTGACTTGTTTAACGCAAGAAATGTCTACAGTTTTGGATGATCAGCGCCAATTGGATGTCATATACACTGACATTCAAAGATCTTGGAGCAAAATTCATCATTACTTGTTATTAGCTAAACTTGAATCTGCTGGCTTGTCAGATCCTTTACTGCTTCTCATACAGTCTTATATCCTGGAAAGGAACATGTACGTGGAATATGGCGGGTATCAATGCAAGACTTATACAGCAACATCGGGTGTACCCCAGGGGTGTAATTTAGGACCTTTGTTGTTCATAATCTTTATTAATAAAATTTATCGCTATCTTTGCCATGCATGCATCTACTTTATGCTGATGATTTGAAAATATATGCTGTTATTAATAATCTCAACGACTGCATTCTATTGCAAAACTGCGTGAAGCTTGTTTACTCATGGTGCTCGAACAATACAGTTAATATTAATATTTCAAAAGGTAAGGTTATGTAGAAAACTTCATCCTATATTATACGATAACTATAACTTGATCACAACCTGCTAGAGCGAACCTCGACTGTCAAGGATTTGGATGTCGTGTTTAAAGCTTCTGTATTCACTCTTATCAGGAGTAAGCTGGAGCACGCATCTATCATCTAGTCTTCTACCTATCAACCTGCAGAGTGAGCATTGAGTGCGTGCAGCGTAAGGCACTTAAACATTTTATTTTAAATGTCACGGTCACTACCCTGAAAAAAGTTTTGATCATTTGGCGCTGTTGAGAATCTTTCAACTTGATCCGTTACAGCTAAGGCGTGATTTATCGGCGCTAAGATTATTATATAAAGTATTAATCAATCAAATTGATTGCCCCTTAATATTAAGCAAAATTATTTTTTCGCGTGCTTAGGTTGGCAACCGGTTTCAGATTTTGTGTTACCCTGACATTTGTAATACAAAACATTGGGTGTAAATCACCATTATACTATATGTGTAAATGTTCCAATGCGATTTGTTCCTCTTGTGATAGTTTTTTGTGATCGAGAATATTGGATTGATACCGAGATTGGTACCTTGGTGTGATATAGGATCGATATGTTAAGAGCTATTTCCACATTTCAAATATTGGCATACTTGTATACATTTACTTGTGTTTTTTATGTTCCTCTGTTGTTAAATTATTGACATACTTTCGTTGTTGGTATATTTCATGTAATTGGGTGTAACCTGTTAGGAATTATAAATAAATAAATAATTAAACACCCTGTGTGCCTAAGGGCGAAAACGCAGTGGAAGCTGGTTTCCTGCTTACCGGCAACTAGCGTCAATCGGAACCGAATTTTGGCGCTGGTAATGGACACAGTGCTCACGAGAAAAAAGGGAATTAAAACCGGCCTCTTGTCAGTTCCAGCGTAGTATTCGTATCAACATCGGGTCTAGCTTAACCGAAGATGAATTTATTGCATTGGACAGCTCTGTAACTGAAATAATCACTAGAAAGGAAGTTGGTATTCACCCCATAAATCGTGAGAGGGTACATTATGGTGAATATCATCATTTGTTAAAGGCGTTGAAAGATGACCCCGACCGCTTTTTCAGTACACCAGAATGAATCATATGGGGAATTGTTTGTATACTGATGCGAATAACTTGTCTGTATCCATTATCCACATGAACCTGCTCTGACAACCGGCGAGAAAGAACTAAATAATTGTTCCGGCAAAACCGGTATCGCCGACTGCCTGCGCCGGCAGCCTGAGCCTGCCTCTATTGTGTTATTGCCAACTCAAGAGCATTATATTATTATAGAAGCTTCTAGGCGCCGATCGGCTCTGGTTGCCGGTAAGCAGGAAACCAGCTGTGTTTTCACCCTTACGCATGTTATGTTAAAGTTATGGCTTTTTAGATAAATCATCCGTAAATACTGAATTTAGAACTTCCTTATTTTCAGATATGAAAAGTTTTCGGTCCATACACCTACTATTTCACTACATCCATTCAAGGATGGAATACCCTGTAATAGGCACAGGCTAGAACGGACATGTTTGCTTTCCGTCTCAGTTACCATGATCAAGTGCAACTCATTAGTGTGGTATGGGTCTAGCCTTTGGAGGGAGACTAATTGAAAGCATACAAGTAGCTGTGTTAC